AACATCGTTACGACAGTCAATGTCTTTTGGCAGTTTCAAAAGAGATTTTCAGTTTCCTCGCGAGTTCGGTTTCCTCCTCGGTGCTCTGCTGGCAGCTTCGCCACTCGAGTCTCTCAGTCGGAAGGCCCATACACTTCACCTGAGAAACAAAGCGAATGCGTCTCAGCAAGGCTAGCAAGATATGAAGCAGGTCAACTTGGCCTACCACAGCTTCTCGACCGAAATTCATCGGAACACTTGATGTTCTAGTCGGCGTCAGAAGGAGTCGAACTTTGTTTGGGCCTGGCAGCTGCATGTAGATATATGGAGGCGTGCCAGACTCTGACGTGGTCTTAGCGATGCCTGATATGGAGTCAGCGAAGGCAACAACACTCGAGTGAGTTACCTTCGATCTCGTCCCTGGAGTATCTTCCCATCTTGTGGACCTTGAGCTCATGGTCATCAGCCATAGTGGTGACCTGCTCTAGCCATTTCTGGGAGTCTGCAGGCTTTCCTCCTTCTCGAGGAACCCCGACCAAATGCACCTACCACAGACAAAGTGTCCACAGGCGCCTACCCCTGTAGATAATGGCAGACCCACCTGCATGTGCATGGCTGCTGAGGACCGCATTTGAGCCCATCTTTCGAACACCACGACATCGCTGTTGTATTGGGACTCCATCACATAAGTTACTTCATCAATGTACCTACACCATTCGAATTTCGACGCAGTCGTTCCGAATCTAACGACATTATAAAGCAGCGTCCTTAGAATCCAAAATCCTTCCATTTTCAGAACGCATCCACGAGGCTACGTGCCTCAACCTACTTGTTAATAGCAGTAAAGACCTTATCAGAGCAGTGCGTACTGCACGCGAAGTGCGTCACTGGACACAAAATGATATGCAGGTCGTTGATGGGGCCCTGAGAAGCTATAGCCTGGGGATGCGAGAGTCCAAAGGCTCACCTTTGCCGTCGACAGATAGGCTTCAAGATTAGCAGCGAAGATCATATGACGCTCCAGATTGGGGTTGGCCAGACAGAACCAGCAGTCT